CAGATCACTGGTTCGCCACGTTAGGGGGATGAGATCGGTGATAACATGAGGAGCATTCACGGTGGCGCCATCACAGCTCATGGCTGTCGACAGCGGTTCGACTGCATGCTGTCTGGGTTCAGAAAGCCATACTAAAGGTCATCCGTGCGTACAGAATGGAGGAGAAATACAACGAGCGTGACCCTCACCTGCACGACATCGTTGACATGGTAAAGGAACCGTTCACAGTCCCCGACAGCATCGAACCGCCAATGTTCAATAAAAAGATCAATTGAAATCTGTCTAATATGTTGATTTGTATGTTCGATAGGAAATTTCAAGACAATCCACTCTATATAACATGGTCCCTGTAGAACACAATATCCTTTGAGTAATCTTTAAGCATCGGATTGAGAATGCACCAAAATGAATTTTAATCCATTATTACCTCTTAACTATTATAGACAAGCTCACGATTTTGGATATAAATTTACAGAGGTTCTCTCGTTCGTGATACTGGAGCATCCTGTGTGAATTAATACATTGAGAAAGATACAATTAGCCAGCGATATTGAAATCGTTAACCAAGTACCATGGGCCTGTCTGCTCAAGCATGCATCGACTTCGTCAATAAAGCTCGCCATCGAACACTCACTCGGGAAGAGCGACTTGACATTCTTCGCCTTCTCGCATATTTTGTTGGAGAAGGCGTCTCTGAGGTGTCCCAAAGAGTCGCCACAGCTCTCGGCCGCAGCCATGATGTGGTCAAGGCTATTGTTCGTAAATACAACACACTCGGAACAGTGACTGTTGCGACTCCTGCAGCGAATCGCAGTAACCACACGACCAGGATGCCTTTCCATAATGTCACAAATTCAATGGTACAGAAGTTCGTACGCGACTGACGTGCCACCCACACCCGTACCACTGCTGTCGACGTGATGGTGTACTTGCGCGAAATGTTTGTCTTGGATATCGACATAGCCAACAAAACCCACGAGGTATCCGCTCTCCGTGCAGTACAGCGCTTTCTGCAGCGCCTTGGCTACAAGCGTGGCAAGAAGAAGGGTTGTATGTCATATCACTTGTCCACAAAGAACGCCCTACTCTGCGACGAGTACGTACGGCGCTTGCAGTCGCATGCTGTGTCGACGATGCCGCCACCGGTTGTGTACATGGACGAATCATTCATTCACCATCACTGCAAGTGCCATAATGACAGCCTCTAAGACCCAAACGACGCCCTTGACAATGCCACGAAGGAGAAGCTCAAGGTTAAGCGCTTATGCTTTATTGCGGGAATCTTGGACTCGGCAACCATGGAAAGCAGGCTTCTGGGCCTCGACATCTTCACTGGCGGCAAAGCAAGAGGCAAGGGGCCCAAGGACTACCATGGTATGTTTAACCACGATTACTTTGACGATTGGTTTGGCAAATTGCTCTCGGAGATGGACCAGCTCCAAGTGACCAACGCACTGATCGTCATGGATAATGCAAAATATCACAAAGGTCGCCCTTCAGACACTCCTTCAAGCAGAATGCGAAAGAATTCGATGCGATTTGGCGTCGAATTCGACGAGTCTGACTACAAGAGCATCCTGTGGGAGATGCTATCGCAGTATATTCACAAGCACATCGATCCGGTCGTTGTTGACATGGCAAAGAAGCGTGGCCATTTGTTGTGTTTACTCCGACGCACCACTCTGATTTGCAGCCCATTAAGTTGGATTGGGCCATTGTCAAAGGTGAAGTTGGCCGTCGTTATGACAATGAAACCAAGTTCGCCGACGTCAA